AAACCAGTAAAAGTTCTGCATAATCTGCGCTATGTATAAGTAAAAGGTCTTTATTTTCTCCAATATTCAGCGCAATCGATGTGGAAGGTAAAACAATGTGAAAGGATTATTGGACATCTCTGCCTACTCCGATTGTGTAAAGGTGTTAGTGTACGATATTTTTCCTATAAGGTATCCTAAATAGCTAAGGTAATGAATAAAAGGGAACGTGCTGATTTATAATTTGTTTCATGTTAATTTTCGGTATAAGGATAGCTGTACTTAAAACAAAATTCCATTTCATTTTATAGCAATATATACAAAATGAGAAATTACTATTTTTATAATTGTGTTTATTTCTGTTTAGACCATGCCAAAGACCTCTCCTTAACTTCGCTGAAGACGATTCAGGAGCTCTCGAATAAAATCAGTGAAGCAAAGAAGAAAGTATACACGTACCTACTACTGTAAAAGATAATAGAGAAAGTATACCGCTACTGATCCAAATACTCAACTGTTCAGAACCACAGTGCCAATTGTACTTCGTGTAACTTTGAAATACTCTTTATTATATTTAGGCTACTCTTCAACGCCACCATGTGGTTAGCTGACACTGAAAATTGCAATTTATAACTTCGTCTGTTCGAGAATTTGATTAAATTACAAGTCAGTTTCTTTATTAACGAAAAACAAAACCGACTTCAAATATCACGCTCTGTATTCATTTTATAATTGATTTTCAGGAGTTCCGTACGTATCTCGAGATCCAACACCAATGAAATTAATATGGACCACATGGGAAGCACAGAAAAATTTTCAAATGAAAAAAGAATCATCAAAACCTGTTCACTCAGCCAAAAGTTCAGAGGTAACAGACATAAAAAATACAGTCGAATTGAGAGCCTCCTTCTTTTTTGAAGTCGGTTGAGGCGAGCGCCCGATTCTCGGCACTGCATAACGTATTGTCAATATCTACACCATAATGATACACTTCTTCAAATTTAGTCGAATATGCCGTATACACTAAGCTTAAATAAAATAACTGTGTTTACATTCTTTCTGTTGGCGCTGGCAACACTTTACCGGATGTGACGTTATCTACTCGAGCTAAGGGACACATGGTCGCATAGAGCACCGGTCACTTGGATTTCGGCTGTGTTCCCGGACGGTGATATAACCACTAGTGCTGCTTGTCGTTATAATAGTTGTTAATATTCAAGTTCAGTAATAGTTAAAATATTAGGATCAAGGTAAAACCGTTAGAACTCTTATATTTCTTTTTTAATTTTAACCATACAGATTAAAATAAAAAAAATCCTTAAATAATGAACGAACTTTTGGCAGCAGCATCTGTCTTGCCTTGAAGTAATATACCTACTTCGAACTTTTGACATTTTGTTTCTTGCGACCGACTACTGCGTTAGTAGTCATTGAAAAGGAAAAAAAAAAAGATATTTTTATTTCTCGAGTTTAATCTCGTATTGGCTATCGCAGTATAGGACGACCTCCAACTATACTTGTGAAAATGTGCGGGAAGTCGATGGATGTAGGTAGGTGGCTTAGGTGCTTCGAAGCAATTTGTGGGGAGACCTATGTTCAGCTGTGGGACTCAAAGAGGAAATAATGATGATGACGAATAGACGTTCGCTAGATAGGTCATGCGGAACGGGCGGACGTCGTCCGTATCTTGAAAATAATTCTAAATTACATTTGGATTAGATTCTACGATCTCAGTTTCCTGGTTGCAGCTAAATAAAGTATCATTAAATCTTTTTCATAGAATAAATGCGATCCTCGAGAACTTGGAATCCAGGCTTATTAGAAGGCGAAACCCCGAGGAACACTCAAGCGGCTCGTCGAGGCGTTTTATTAGCTCGGAAATATCGCTGGCTATATATCAGCGCCGTTTTCGCTCTATTATTCATACCGCGGCTTTATGGTCAATGGGGGCTAAGTGCAATAAGCGGTATTGAACCGTAGCTTACTGAGTGCAGGACTCGTAAATTATCGGCGAAAGAGCTGCCGATACAAAAGTGTGGCGATACATAAATCCAAGCGGAGCACTGGAGCTTGCGTTGGGAAATAACAGTTGCGGATCTAGGAGTTCCTGGATGCGTCAGGAGTGTTAGGGATTTAAGCCTATAATAATGTATACTGATATTTTTGTACTATATAAGCGTAAAGGATCTATATTTTAATTACTGTTATTTATCAATAATGGCTGCTTGACTGTAGGTTTTTGCAAAGTTTTCTTTTCTCTTCCAGCTATATGTAACAAAACAGACCTATAAAATAATAACTAAATGTTTAGAGACAGACTTCATCTATGCGTTTTTCTGTTTTACGGAAAAGTTGACGTTTATATCGCCAGGCTTAAACATAATAAAGTGTCATAGTAATTGGGAGTAGACTTTACTGAAAATCGAGTAGATGTAAATACAATAAACATAATTAATGGAAAAGATAAATGAAGAAAGATATTTTGGCCGGGGAAAAATCTCAAATCTCTGCCTTCCTGTCTGCGTGACAAGATCGAGCTTTTCATACATTCGGCCATCGTTTTGCCACTGCCAGTTACTTTACGTCCACAATAAGAAAACTCGCCCCGGGATAAACAGCTAATTCCATTATGGGAATGGCTGCGCTCAGGGTGCTTGCAGGCTCTTTGGGGCGCCGCCGTAATTACACAGTTCTTAGGCCGGGACCTGATTGCAGAGAGGCGGTAATCCAAGGTGCGAGCACCTAACGGGTTCCGGACATCTGTCACTTAATCAACTTGGCCAAATTCGCGTTTGGGGTTCTTCGATTGGATTTATCCTTTTTTTTCTTTTCGCACTGTGGGGAAAATTTCGCATGTTTTAGGCTTCGGGCACTTTCATTTTTTCTAACATTTATGCGAAGAATGTTAAGTTTAGCAAGACATCCCATATCCAATTAAACATTCAAAATACTGATTATACATTTGTATCGACAGAAACGAATTGTAACAGGGTCATGCTTATGCCCATCATTATCATCTTCCGTATCCCACATAGGTGGGGTCGGCACAACATGTGAAATATGTTGGAAAAAATTGTAAGAGTAGAATTTTTAAGATTGTAAAATTGATTTTTAATGATGATGAAGTTGGTTGGAAAGCGACTAACTTCAATCAATTTTACGGTATTACCATGGCAACCAATAGCAACCAATAGCAACTTTTTCTTAAATCTATGCAGATAAATAAAATTGGAGTGTCTGTTTGTAATATTAAAATAACCGCTTTTTACTAAATGCATATGGATGTAGTATACACGGTACATATACCAAAATAACATTTTTTACACTTTTTTTGTCTGTCTGTTTGTTCCGGCTAATCTCTGAAACGGCTGGACCGATTTAGACGGGACTTTCGCTGGCAGATAGCTGATGTAATAAGGAGTAACTTAGGCTACTTTTATTTTAGATTTTTTTATTTTAAATTTCACGCGGACGAAGTCGTGGGCACAGCTAGTTAAATATATAATTCCAAGTTATTTAATTAAACCATTATCAATTTAATTTATTGTCTTTCAAAAATAAAGAGTACTGGTACAAGGGATAAAATTTCCACTTATTTTTCTTTCTTAAATTTCTACTTAGTTACCCTAAAGAAATATGACTTAGTACGTGCGTTATGTATCCTATATCATCATCACTATCATCATATCAGCATGTTTAAGTCCACTGCTGAACATCACATACGATCATACACCTGCTTCCATCGACCCTCCGCACACTTGCACAGGTATATCACAGTATCCTACATAATAGTCCTTATGTAAGAACGCTTTTTAATAACAATTTTATTTCGAGCACAACAGAAATCTCCACAAGAAGTAGGGAGATTAATCAAGTGTGTTGAGTCGAGCGCAAGGCGCACGGGGCATCTCGTCTAGCTAATTTGGAGCTGCGGAATCCGTCTAATAAGTCCGCCCGTTCGTGGCGAGGTGGAATTTACGTTAAATTATAAAGCTTATTAAGCACTGTTCCCCCGCGTGTCGTAAGCAGCCGCAATGAAATGCTCCGCCGCCGTTCTTCATCGGGCAAGCCTCGCTTCGCCTGAATTATTTACCTTGGACCGTATAAACAACACGGAGCCAGTAAAGTGGCTTCTTTAATTAATTTCATGAACCGACGAAAAAGGTAAGTCAAATAGTGGCGAATTTTTCACTCTGCAAAAAATTGGGGGCCGCTCTGTGGCGGTGCACTTGGCGAATCTGAGATTAATCGGAAAATGGTCGTGAAATCCATCACAGTTTTTCGAAAACAGCAAATTTTTAAGTTATTTTTTTTTTAGATATTAGTTATTCTTTCGATCGCACTAGCTTTCGAATCGTTTATTTAACAGATGAATGATATTTACGTCCTTATTAAAATCTCAGTTGCGGCTGGTACTGTCTGCTGTGTACGGATAATTAAGAACAAACAAGATGATAACCTCTTCGCGTTTATCTTTGTGTCACCTGTCAGTTTATTTCGTTTTATAGTTAAGTAAACATTTCTGTTTCAATAGCAAATTTGATAATTGTAATTATGGATGAAACTGTCGATACATTGAGGTCTTCGACGTCGAATGCTGTTGGTAATTCAGAGGAAAGGACTGCCAATTTATTAAATATATTGGCATTAAACGTTAATTCGGCAGACGGCGTTAGGTATGTGTTCGTTATGTATTTTGTATACGATTGCTTCAATTAATAAAATAGTAAAATTGGTAAATGTAAATAACTTTAACTCTCGCGTAATTCAATTAAAATAAATTTTAAACGATAGAGAAAAATCACTAATGAATTTATCAACAAGCAGAATTCGGCGGTCGCTTATAGTTTTCGAAAAAATAAATAATGAAATAGTTTGATTTTTACTACAGAAATCCGCCATTTTTATCGCCTCCATCATTATATAAATAATGACGAAAGCGAATAAGTTGTAGTATAAAATAAATCGATGTGATTTCAGTGGTCTTTACGTGTATACGGATTGTTATAATTAGGGCGAAAATGCGCGAGGTCCTGACTTCAGTCGTCGAAAAGGAAGCTGGCGATAAAGTTACGATGGCTTGTCCGCCCTTTGAAATGGCGGCACAAGACGGGGAAACGGTGACGATACGGCACACCTTGGCGAACGCGTACGCACTACAATCGTCCAGCACAGTGAGAAAACCCGGTAGAAACCGGAAGAACGCACCGCGAAGGAAATCCAGGAGGCTAATCATCGACAGCATCTACTCCGGGAAACTTTCAAATCTCGTCTGCTACAGGCGGTCGAGAAGAGACTGATGTTTTGAATTTCTTTTCCCCTTTTTTTCTTATACTCTCCATTTGGAACCGTTTTGGTCATTACACGATTTCACCGAGATTCCTTGTGCTTTTATTTTTGAAAATCATTAATCTTCATATTACTCGCCTTTACATTGCGAACTGCTTCCGAATCTTGTATGGATTTCGAATCGAATTATGAAAGAAGTTGAAAGAATTTTGCACTAACCCTACGATCCAAAGGAAACTCAGGATCAGCCACAGTTGGAAAGATAATCAAAATCTCTTGTTTTATTTTGCTGGTAATCACGAAGAAAACTACTGTTTCTTCACCTTTGTACACATAATTTCAAAGTGCATACTTTATAAATTAAGGACACCAAATTTCCAGCGATATTTCGGGAGGTGCAATCTTTAGTAATTAAATGATACAACACCTAGCAATGGAATAATATGTATAATATTCTCTTATTTCATCAGGTTTCCCTGTCCTGTCCTTTTACGTTGTATAAAGTGGTTTAATTGAATTGGCTTAAATACTCAAAAGTAGAGTAAATTATTTCCCAGCAAGTGGCCATTTCTCCGAGTCTTTGCGACGACGGTTAGCAATTCCAATAACTCCGTTCATTCGGTATCATTCTGCGCAGCGCTCCCCGCTTAGAGCTATCATGCCTCGGCAATCTCTTAGCGGATCGTATCATATCGGAAATTCAATTTCCGATTGGCCCCACTGCGGGCCCTGTAATAGACGGCAACGCGGCGAGTAATTCGCGAAGTTGCTACGAGATGTTGTGACCCCACCAAACAGTCCATCCGACAGAACTGTCGAATGATAATCGAAATAATCTATGAAAACTTGCTATTTCGTTTTATCTTGTCACTAAGGTTTGTAACTTTCGAATCGAAAATTTGAATTGGCTTCGCCCTAATTGAATTTCTGTAGGAACGACGTCATTAGTCTATCGTCAATATTTGATCTGATTTTGTTTTAGGCGCCTTTATTTGTATTTTGTTGGTTAAAAAGCGTTGCATTTGGTAATAAATAAACATACGTGTTCGATTTAATTGTCAACTGAAGTAATACATAATTGAGATTGTAGATTAGGTGTTCTGTTTCTGAATTAGTTCTGTCTAAAGCAAAAGTACTGGGAAAGCAGACAACGAGGATGACCCTTAAATAATTTTGCATAGAAAGTAAAGGGTGGAGCCCAAGTCGACTCTATTCATTTATAAACATTAAAGTTACAATATGAATAATTTTTGTATTATTATAATGGACAGGATTTTGTTTAAATTTAAAATTTATGCTCCATCAGATAAAACACATCCGGTCTGGATTGAACCTTAATCGAATTTAGGTTGGTTACGCAAAAACAGAAGTTTCCTCAAGTCTATCATATATATTGCGAACTCGAATTTTCTCATCGAATTAGTGTGAAAGAAGGTAAGTGTGAAATTTAACGTCTCTCCACAAATATAAAAGGCATAATTTTATGCACTTTTTTCGGTTTTCGCTGTTTTGTGGTGTAGGTGCCATAGTCTTGGCAACAGATAATCAGTCAGAAATTAGGATTAGTTACTATTATAATTATAATTCCGCTGCAGGACCTGTGTCAAACGAAAAGAAACAACGGATCGAGCTGAAATGGCCAATTGTAACGTTACGCAACTCGCCGCCTTCCTGTAAAGTGCATCTCAGCCGTTTGAGAAAACGAACCGTGAGACTGGAAATTTCTCGGCGTCCGTGGAAAATTTACTCCAATTCCCAACGTGATAGCAATCGAACGTCTGGGGCGGCTATTTGGACGGCTAATGCCATGTGCAGTTTGAGAAATTGGGTCTGTGACTATCGGAAACGGGCGGACCCATTTTAGTTGATGACGCATCGGATGTGGGAAAGAGAAATTCGAGGTGTTGCTTCGCTTAACGTCATCGAACGTGTTCTAACACGTTAAGCTCCGCTTAAGTTGCTTATTCTTTCAGTTAGTAAGTTCCAGTGAGAGCTTAGCGACGACTGTTTGGGACTTAAGGGCTTTGAGCAGTTTTACGAGTGTTCATTTGGTAAACATCTACTAGATTTGTTTTTCTTAGTTTATTTGCAGTATTAGTACATAAGTCTGTTCTTAATCTGTTGTATCTGTTGTTGTTTGTTAATACTGTAAGTTAAACTGTAGATCGTATTATTTATTTCCCATAGGACAGGCAATAGTCTCGTGTGGGGGTCAGTTTTTAAGGCATATAATGTAGAAACATTTTGGAAATAAAGTAATTTGTATTCTTTTGTATCGTAAACAGACTCACAGCTGTGACGGCACATGTCATCTGTAATTGAGAATAGTAATTGAAAACGAAGGCGAGCAAAAAGTGCTGTTGATTTTGGTGTCGTCTTTTATAGATTCGAACCACGAAAATGATATCGATGTCATAAACATTATACCGTCAGGTCGTGTAATAACAAGTGTAATCTGAAGATCGTGAGTTATAGCACTGGGAGGCAATGCCGTGTAACAAAGAGCTATGGCCCCCGAGCCCCAAACTGCGGAACCCCGAAACTTGTTCGAGTTAAATGACGTCACGGAGCGACGATCCGGCCCGTCCGCACCGGCGAAATGGACAACGCGTGTTAATAGCGTGTTTTGATTAGTTTAATTAGTTTTCGTACGGCATAATTTAGCTAAGCCCCCGGGGTAGGCCTTCTGAAAAACCAACCGCTGAGTTTGGAACTGGAACGAGTCATAATGCTTTCGTGGGGATCCGGAAATGAGCGGAAATGGCCCAGCGGAACGATTCGCATTTAAAAAAATGACAGACGGCATTCTTGAAAAACACCGGCGTAGACAACAGAGATAAATCATAAGTTGTACGTAGAAAAGTTTCGAGAAGATTTTTTTTTTTACCTGAAAAGTTTGGCAAGCGAGTTTGCGAGCCATCTGCTGTTAAGTGATTACCACGCATGGATCCATAGACATGTAAAACACCTGAATTGTTGCAAATGCGTTGCCAAACAATGGGTCCCGCTTAATTCACACATCAGACAAAGCGCAAAAGTATGATACTTCTATTTTGCTTTGGTCTTTTGTGAGGCCGTATTTGGCCAGACGATCCAACCCATAAGCTGTTTTTTCAATCAATCAAATATCTTTATTCAAATAAACGGTTGCGTGTTCTTATGAATCTTCAAATTTTACATAAGAAATTATATATATAGGGTCGTATGGAACCACCGCGGTGGTAGGAACGGAACTGCTTTCCGAACCGGTGCACCGAATTGGAAAGCAGTTTCTGTTGAGAAGAGACCGGCAAGAAACTCAACAGTTTTGTATTGAACTGTCTTGTATTCAGATCGTTAGAACATGGGAAGCAGAAATCGGAGTTCTGTTTATTCCTCTGATGAGTATTAACAACCGTGGATCATTTCACCATGTTACACCTCGGTGACTCCGCTTAACTCATCGTTTTTTCCAGTAAAATCGTATATTTAATGTTCTCAATAAGTTTGTATTCGAATTCAATATATTTGTAATGTTATATGGCACTTTCAAACATAATTTATCAGTAGGCAATATACAATAGATTTTTGCTATTGAAAGTACACTTTTGTACACTTGTGTTGCATTAGCAATGGAAATTTAGAACTAACGGGAACAGGTCGTGAAAATATTTTTTAAATAATATTTTAGAACTGAAAATTAAGAATGTTAATCTTAGTAAAAAACATTAAGAATGTTATATAAATTAGGCTCTCAATATTATAACCGGACGTAAATTTTAAACATAAATCCAGTTGCGTTTCACTTCATCGAGCCTAATCGATTTAAAGATTTTGATAGTCCCTAAGTTTTACTTTTTTCACAATATAGGTATTGATTTCAAATTTTATTTTCCACTAAATATTCATTCACCTTTTAACCAATTATGGGGGCTAAGTCGCCTAGGCCCTTTCGCCTAGGTAGAACTAGACAAGAAAAGGTTTTTGTCTTTGTCAAGTTGAAAAATGTTTCATAGGTAGCTTGGATTAAAACACATAACTAACTCGGCTCCGCTAACCAGTATTCCGGCGAGAGCGACGGCGCATAAAGTTCCAAGTTCAGTTCCGTTGCACCTTCCCCAAACCCCCGCCTGTCTAGCGACTTGCTAGAACGATGCATTAATTAATTCATTATTAACGGGAAAGCGAGTTGGGATCGTGCACCCATATAAGTAGGTAGACCACACTTTCCGTAGGCCACTTGCAGTTTGCTATAGTGCATAACATTGCATTTAAAATTGCGAAATATTGAGATGCGTTTGAGGTTATAATGTATAAGCTAACTTTAACATTATATGATTTATTATCTCGTAAAAGTTAAATATTTTAATCAGGAAAGTAAACAGTGAAAGCTGGTGTTCACATATGAACAATATACTAGATCTGCGATCATGCAGAGGCGGTTGTTGCTGGCTGTAGCAATACATACATAAATAAACTGTTACTTAAGTGATACTATAAGGGAATGTATGCTATGATACATTTCATATCATACATTTCACTATATACTAACCCTATATAAGAATTAAAACTTGAATACGTTTCGCATGAAATTTAAATTTTATATAAATGAAACTGAGGCTTTAGACGAATGGCATTTGAGGCATATCCTTTGAAAGATTCAAAGGTGGTCACCCGACATGTGAGTGTTGTGATTTACATTCGTTTAGCGCGCGAGTTAATGGAAAAGTGTTCTTCTAAGTCTTGACAGTTACTGTTACATTACCGGGAGTCAGGTTATACGGCTGTAATTACGTTCCCTTCACGGAGCTTACTCTCGTGTAGTTCTTGGCAGCGTGGCGGAGCGACTGTTACGTCATCTATCATCCATCTTCTACTATGGTGTGACAGAGGTGTTATTCGTTTTTTAGTTTAGAGGTTATTCTCCTAAATTTAATGACCTCGCTCGGCTTGAATTGTAGTGAAAGGTTAGCTTTAGCGTTCACTATTGCTGTGTCTTCCCTCTTTTTTATATTATTCTATTTATATA